GCAGGCAGTCTGGCAGCCACGCAGGCAGTCTGGCAGGCAGGCAGTCTGGCAGGCAGGCAGTCTGGCAGGCAGGCAGTCTGGCAGGCAGGCAGTCTGGCAGGCAGGCAGGCAGGTAGTCTGGCAGGCAGGCAGGCAGGCAGGTCCGTTGTTTGGTTGACTGGCTATTGGAAAATTGGCTAGTTGGTGGTCTGACTACGGTAGCCAATTGGTTGGTTGGTTAGGGAATGGTTTGTGGATAGCAGGTAGGTAGGTAGGTAGATAAGTAGGAAGGGAGGGAATGACACACAGATGGAAAGGTACAGGCAGACACGCATATCGGCAGAGATAAACAGACAGGATGGGACAGGACAACAGGGTGCACGTCGGCAGATAGACAGGCGGGGCAGAATGAGAGTGGACATGAGTGAATGGAATGGGATGGGGACATACCAACCGGTCTAGCTCAGTTGGTACACCCCTGAACTGAACTGTTGCAATACAGACCTGGGTTCGAACCCCACTACTGGAAGGAGACGAGTAAAAAATACTGCAATTGTCTTAGACAGATCAGTTCCATGATGATATCTCAAGGCCGTTGCCCTTTAGAAAAAAGGAATGGGATGGGACACGACAAAAAAGAGGCAACAAAGCCAACAAGAGAGGACACGGGTACGAGGATTAGGGGATAGGAGCAGATGAGATGGTGGAGGGATGCCAGGGGAAGGGAGGGGCCCGAAACACGAGGGGACAGGAGAGGGCAGGACGCATGGAAACAGGAGAGGGGAGAAGAGAGGAGGAGACGGGAGGGAACAGGAGAGCACAGCAGGGAAAAGGACTGGATGAATGGAAAAGGGAAAAAGCATCTCCCACCCCCCATGGGGTTGAAAAACTTTCCACAAAGAGAACCGAAGGATGGCGATGGGGGAATTAATTCACGCACAAAATAACAATTTGAGTAATTGACCGGATGGTTACTACAGAACGAAAGAGGTGAACACAGAATGCCGATGCGGGAGAAATGAAATGAAATTATTAATTTAAATATACAAAGAAATTCAGAGAAACTCAGCACTAATTTGGGGGGGGTGCCTACCTCGTTGGACGATGTGGTGGATAAATCCACTACCATCTTCCCCCGAACATAAAGCACCCTAAAAATGAATGTATACGATCTATATTTCCAGCCAGATACAGCCAAAACAAGGGTGGGTTGTGTTCGGGGGAAGACGGTAGGGCTATGCGGCAACCGGTGTTCAGCTACAGGTAGAAAACAGATAATATGTAACCCCGGGATGCAAGCAACTTACGTTGACAACAACACAGTTATTTTTTCACTGAAAGACAATGCGGCCGATCATTCAACCAAAATTCCCTTTTTTTTCCTTTTTTTTTTTTCAATCCTAATTTCCAATCTGCTCAAAAACAAAAACAAAACAAAAAAAATCCAAGTGCCACAGAAAGATGATTAGCGATCCACACTTTTGAAGTCGATGGATGTTGCAGACAGGTACGTCGAATCTAGACTGGAGAGAACTACAAATTTATTTGCCCACAATTGACCAGGGAAAGAAAGCAAGGAGCGTTTCAAATAAAAACAAAGAACAAAAAACAAAAAACAAAAAACAAAAAACAAAAAACAAAAAACAAAAAACAAAAAGCGTAATGTGCCTTTCCCTATATATCCATCCATCCACCCATAGGGGCGCCGAGCACTGGCACTGACCTACTTGCTGGACCAGGCCCCTGAACAGCTCAAGGGGAAAAAAAAGGAAAAAAAAGAAAAAAAAAGGAAAAAAAGAAAGTGCAGGGCTTGCAGGAGGCTGAAAATTCTAATTTGTGAAAATAAAAATAAAAAAAAATCCAGCCGGCCACCCATGCTCCTTTGTCCACCAAAACCCTCCGTCGCGACCTATTTTCGAGAAAAAGGCAAACACTTGACCTGCTTGCTGCACCAAGCCCTGAACACCTCAAGTAAGAAAAGGGGAAAAAAAAAAAAAAAAAAGTGTAGGTCCTGCAGGAGGCTGAAAATTCCGATTTTAGAGAACAAGGCAAACACTTGATCTTCTATTTTTTTATATTTTTTTTAATTTTTTTTACGGCCTTTTTCGTTCATCATCCAATGCGAGCTTTTCATTTCCTTTTCGTTCAAAAAAGGGCGAGCCTACCTGGTAGTATTGTATCCCTCAGGGTTTGAACCCCTGATCTGCTCACAAACAGCTACACGAATCAGCAATAATCAGGGGTTTATAATAGTTTAGACTTAACTTAGGGTGTAGGGGGGTTAGTTAGGGTTTAGGGTTTACGGCTACTTCCTCGTTTGTGCTTTTAGGGTGTAGGGGGGTTAGTTAGGGTTTAGGGTTTCGGTTTAGTTCAGGGCTTAAGGGTTAGGGTTTAGCATTAAGGCTTAGCTAGGGGGGGTAGTTAGGGTTTAGGGCTTCGGTTTAGTTCAGGGCTTAAGGGTTAGGGTTTAGCATTAAGGGTTAGCTCAGGGCTTAAGGGTTAGGGTTTAGCATTAAGGGTTAGTTCAGGGCTGAAGGGTTAGGGTTTAGCATTAAGGGTTAGTGCAGGGCTTAAGGGTTAGGGTTTCAGGTTAAGGTATTGCAGGACGCAATTTGGAAAGACTGGATTTTGGAAAATTTCAGAGTCTCACCACAAGCATAAGGCGAGCTGTGTCCCAAACATTGGAATTCGAATTTCCTTTTTTTGTTGTTGTAAAACTACAAAGGACAATGAGTGGTCCTAACATCGGATGCTTCGATTGAAATGATGGTCTTCTTTAACCTTTAACCTTTGACCTTCATAATAAAAATTAAAAAAAAAAAGACTTTTCTTACGTGCTTGAAGTTACTTCAACTTATCCCCTGACCACCTACCGTATCTTGTTAAATCCCCCCAGCATAGACTACATTATCACCATTTCTTCTTTTCCACAGTATGATTTAATTGTCCAAATTATCACCAACGATTCATTTTTAATCTCTCGAAGTCGAGCCACACACTTACAACCTTAAGTTTAGGTGAGACGGCAGACACGTGTTGCATAGACCGTAGCCAGAGGCTGGGACCTCTCTCTCTCTCTCTCTCTCTCTCTCTCTCTCTCTCTCTCTCTCTCTCTCTCTCTCTCTCTCTCTCTCTCTCTCCCCCCCCCCCCCCCCCCCCCCCCCCCCCCCCCCCCCCCCCCCCCCCCCCCCCCCCCCCCCCCCCCGCCCTATAAACAGTGATGGTGAAGCGTGGGAAGAAAGGGTGAAAAGGACAAGAAACGGGAGGCTGTGCAGATTTCATCGAAGTTTCACCGACTTATCCAGAGGCTTTATAGGTATATCGTCAAACCGGAGTGCCCAGTAAACCAACCGTAGGCAGAGTGACAGACTCTTTCGTCAGAGTTTCACCGACTCATATCGTCATAAAGCAATATATATGTATTGCCATATATAAATAGTTATATAGATATATAGATAGACATAGACATTTGAATAATGATACCGTAGGTGATAATCCACAGGTGGGCACCACCCACTTCCCTCTACGGTACGTCTGATGAGAATCAAAACAGATTTTATCTACCCACCTATCCGCCTATCTATCTATGTCTTATCCATTTTTCTATCTATCTATCTATTTATCTATCTATCTAGATAGATAGATAGATATATCTATCTATCTATCTACCTAGCTATCTATCTATCTATCTATCCATTTTTCTATTTATCTATCTACCTATCTATCTATCTCTCCATTTTTCTATCTATCTATCTATCTATCTATCTATCTATCTATCTATCTATCTATCTATCTTCAGTCTATATATTTTGTTTGACGATATATATATAACGATATATATTGTCACATTTCTTATTGGAGACAAAGGAGCGAGCGAACGAGAGAGAGAGAGAGAGAGAATAAGAAAGTCGAGGCGGCAAAGAAGGCAGGCAGGGAGAGATACACGCACGCACGCACCGTTGTCAGCCGAAACGACAAAAGGGAGGAAACATGCACCCGATGAACAGAGTTTGAAGAAACACGTTTTTCATTAAAATGATTAAATGTTCTTTTTTGGTAATACGGTTTTTTCAGTTTTGTATTAAAATAAAACGGGGAGGAGAAGTAGAGGATGGGCACGGACAACGAAGAGTTTGGAGAAATACATTATCATTCTTTTTCTTCAGAAAAAAAAGAGGTTGGGCGTTCTGGCTAATCGTCCCCTGAGCACCATGGCTTGTCCTGTCGCCTGAATATTGTCGCTGCTTCTTTCAACAGTCTCTTGCCCC